GCACAATCTACTTGCAATCTTGAGTTTTAAGTAATATGCATTAATAAACAATACTTTACACATAAAAAATGGTTTGTAAGAGTTTTTGTCAAATGTTTTATAATATAGTATAGATAATCACATTTAGCTTATTATTTGTAATAAAATAATAATAAATCATCGACTAATACATAATTTTTTAAGGGTTGACATAACAGAGAGATTAATTAAATGTAAAATTGTTATTCAGTTAACTAAAAACGTAATAGTTATGCACATATAAAACTGTATGTTATTTCAATTGTGGACACTTATTATATAATACAGTATGAAATAAATGTATATGATATGAAATCCAGTATCTCATAAACTTAATTAACACCAACATGAAATAATAATTAAATCATCCACACTTTTCCCTACTTTAACTAGCCTTCGATCATTAAAAAATACAACGTGAAACACGTTGTTGTCCCACTATATTGATCAATCTTCAAGAATCATTTTTGAATCTATGGCAGATTTGAATTTAACCTTTAAGAGCTTTGAGAGGAGATAGAGAGAAAAAGTCAAGGCTCAAAATTTAGTCAAACTCTTCTTTACGATAAATGAATATTACAATAAAGAATCATACCAAGATTACAAAGAAACACTCTATTTATATGGTCAAACATAAAACCACATAGTCAAAGTCAAACATCTAAGAAAAGTCAAATACGGTGACTTTTAAAACAATTATACAATTTTATCTTTCAAGACGAATACAATTTTACACTTATTTTCAGTCATAATATTTTTTTTTAGTCAAACTCTTCTTTACGTAAATGAATATTACAATGAAGAATCTTACCAAGATTACAAAGAAACACCCTATTTATAGGGTCAAACATTAAACCACATAGTCAAAGTCAAACATCTAAGAAAAATCAAACACGGTGACTTTTACATAATTATAGACAATTTTATTTTTCAAAACGAATACAATTTAACACTGAATTTCATTCCTAACACATGTTCTAGAGACAAAACCAAAAGACCAAATTGGGAATTGGGTCGCACCGGATCCAACTATATTTTGGCCGTTTTAGGGTTTGTTTGTTAACAACATCAAAACTTTAATAAATCTCGTAGTTTATTCGGTTAGTTATACATAATTGTTTGGTAGTAGGTTAATGATGTAGAAATTGACTTATTCAATAATTATCTAGTGGGGAGGTTTATGCAAAAAAAACAAGTTTTTTCTAAACATGCATCTCTCATTAAAAAAAAACTTGATTCTTCAAGCTATGAAAAACTATATCGATTTACACAGACAGATTAATACACACAAACAACTTTATCCATACAAGACTTAGAGGTTGTTTGGTTGATTTTTCAATAATGTTTGGGTTGATTTTTCAATCGGTTTTGTATTTTAGGAACCGGAACCACTTATATCGGTCCCGGTTTCGGAACCGGCAATTCCAAAGCAGTTCCGGTTCTGCAAGTGGGTACCCGGTTCCGCTGCTCACCCCTAGTTTTTTTCATACATAGGAGTGTATTTTTTTAATTATAAGGGACATGATTGGGGGAAACATGACTTTATATATAAAGTTTTGTCTGTAATTATACTGAATAAGTCATTTTCTATATTATTAAGTCAAATCAAATAATCATGTTTAATTTACTAGAATAAATTATGAGTCTTATTAAACTGATAACAAACATGATCTTAATGGAAAACAGTCTGGTTAACGTTAACTTATTCAGGTCAATCCGGATCTCCATTTTGTTATTTTGAATTTTTTTAAAGGTTCTAAATCGTAACCAGAGCACTTTATTGAGTGGAAGTATCTAATTGAGTTGTAGTCATCTGTGCTCCGGTTGAGTTCCGATTAAATCGGGTCGAAACCAGATGAAGATCCCTGTTTGAAACAGTAAGACCAGGTGTCACTTTCTTCGGTGGAAGTATCTGCTTTCCAAAATTCTATAAAAACTCCATTCATCCCTCCACTCCACTCCACACTTAAGTAGAGACTCCACCACCACATGGCTTCCTCTACCACCACCCCACTCCTCCCTCACCACCACCTTCAGAACCCGCAACAACTCGCCGGATCTCCGGCAGCTCATCGTCTATCCCGACCCACACTCCTTTCTGGGATCCTTGTTTCGGTCCTAGTCATCTGTGCTCTCGTTGCTGTAATCCACAACCAATCACAGCAACCCTACCATGACGGCGGAGCTAAACCCTCCTCCTCCGCCGCTACCACCACCTTCCCAACAGCGTCGCCAGAAGCTGGTTTGAAACGGTTTCCCATTGAGTTGAAAACGAATGCTGAGGTTGAGTGGCAACGCTCGGCTTACCATTTTCAGCCCGATAAGAACTACATTAGCGGTAACCAAACCTAATTTCTCAGACTTACTTTTAATCAAATTGTTTCACATAAAATCGTTTTCATTATAAGGAATCTAAAAAGGATTTAATATTATATTAATTTAATATATATATTTTATAGTTTCTTTGGACTGATGATGTTTTTTTTGAATGGTGGCGACATATTCTTGACGATATTGCTGGTCTTCGCTTCTAGATCCTGATGGTATGCTTTCCCACCTGCACGCACATACATACATACATATATATATATATATACATATACATACATACATATATATACATACATACATATATATATATATATATATATATTCTATGAATTTATTTCATGTTTACTTTTAATTAATTTATTAAAAAGACTAATAATTATCATTTGAAAATGAAATAAGATAAAAAGTAGCTATAAAAATTCTAATTATAAAAAAAATTAAATCAATAACTATTATTAAAAAAGTAAATGGTAAAATAAAATATTGTTTTTTAATTAAAATAATTATTTATAAAAAAAATTTAAAAGAAAAGACAGGAATGTTGTTGGTGATTATGAAATGAAACAATTATTGTACGGGTATGATATTAGGAAGTTAGTAATGATTGAGGAAACTGTTCGACGTGACGCAGGCCCAATGTATCACATGGGGTGGTATCATCTCTTCTATCAGTACAATCCAGAGTCTGCCATCTGGGGGAACATCACATGGGGCCACTCCGTATCCAAAGACATGATCAACTGGTTCCATCTCCCCTTCGCCATGGTCCCTGACCAATGGTACGATATCCAAGGTGTCATGACCGGCTCCGCCACCGTCCTCCCTGACGGTCAGATCATCATGCTCTACACCGGCAACGCGTACGATCTCTCGCAACTGCAATGCTTAGCGTTTGCCGTCAACTCGTCTGATCCCCTCCTCCTCGAATGGAAAAAGTACGAGGGAAATCCCATCTTGTTCCCACCTCCTGGGGTGGGATACAAGGATTTTCGGGACCCATCTACATTGTGGTTGGGTCCCGATGGTGAATACAGAATGGTAATGGGGTCCAAGCATAACGAGACCATCGGTTGTGCCTTGATTTACCATACCACTAATTTTACGCATTTCGAGCTCAAGGAAGAGGTGCTTCACGCCGTTCCCCACACGGGTATGTGGGAATGTGTGGATCTTTATCCGGTATCCACCACGCACACAAACGGGTTGGACATGGTGGATAACGGGCCGAATGTGAAGCATGTGTTGAAACAAAGTGGGGATGAAGATCGACATGATTGGTATGCGCTCGGGACTTATGACGTCGTGAATGATAAGTGGTATCCAGATGACCCTGAAAACGATGTGGGTATCGGGTTAAGATACGATTTCGGAAAGTTTTATGCGTCAAAGACGTTCTACGACCAACATAAGAAGAGACGGGTCCTTTGGGGTTACGTTGGAGAAACCGATCCCCCTAAATACGACGTTTACAAGGGATGGGCTAACATTTTGGTACGTAATTTAAAGCTAGCAACGAACACACACCGCTCAAGTTTTTCTTGAGACGGTCATTATGAAGTTCATCTAAATCGTTTTTCTCCACGTTTATTTTCAGAACATTCCAAGGACCATAGTTTTGGACACGAAAACAAATACCAATTTGATTCAATGGCCAATTGCGGAAGTCGAAAACTTGAGATCGAATAAATACAATGAATTCAAAGACGTGGAGCTGAAACCGGGATCACTGATTCCGCTCGAGATAGGCACAGCAACACAGGTGACATTTGAATCATTTTGTAGCATTTTCTGTAAAAAGGATGCAAGAAATTCGTGAACTAAAAACTTGTGATTTTGTGAATGGTCACAGTTGGATATAACTGCAACATTCGAAGTTGATCAAACGATGTTGGAATCGACGCTTGAAGCCGATGTTTTGTTCAATTGTACGACCAGTGAAGGTTCAGCCGGGAGAGGGGTGTTGGGGCCATTTGGAGTGGTGGTTCTAGCTGATGCCGAACGATCTGAGCAACTTCCTGTGTATTTCTATATAGCAAAAGACACCGATGGATCCTCAAAAACTTACTTCTGTGCCGATGAATCAAGGTTTCTATTAGTTTTCCTCTCTTATCTTAATAATTTTTCATCTCCAAAAAGTTCATTCACAAATACAAACTTGTGCAGATCATCGAACGATGTAGACATAGGGAAATGGGTGTACGGAAGCAGTGTTCCTGTTCTAGAAGGCGAAAAATTCAACATGAGGTTGCTGGTACGTCAGATTTAATCTCCATTCCTGTTTATTCCGAGTACCAAATCTTCGCAATTTTGGACTCATTTCAATTCAAAATAACTGAATTACTGTGTTCTGAAACCATACGGATCTAGTAGATTTGATTTGATTCAATTCAATTTTACTGTGGCTAAATCTGAGTTTAAATGTGATGCGACATACTTGCAGGTGGATCATTCAATTGTCGAAGGCTTCGCACAAGGAGGCAGAACGGTGGTGACATCAAGAGTGTATCCGACGAAGGCGATCTACGGCGCTGCAAAGTTATTTTTGTTCAACAACGCCACCGGAATCAGCGTGAAGGCATCTCTCAAGATCTGGAAAATGAAGGAAGCACAACTGGATCCATTCCCTCTTTCTGGATGGAGTTCTTGATGATGATGATTAAGGAACTCATTTCATGATGATGATGATGATTAAGAACTCATTTCATGATGATGATTAAGAACTCATTTCATGATCATGATGATGATGATGATGATTCCAGTTTATATGCGTACCCTGTTCCCTTTACTTGTATGGTGGTGGTTGTGAAATATGGTTAGCATGATTCCGGATTGGCGAGGGCAATATGGTAATTTACTATCGCTGTAGTAGTACTCCACTTGTGAGGTTATATTTTATAAATTCAATTATTATTCCTGTTTACAACCTCTTTGATTGTATCATACCACCCATTGAATCCCATCATCTTCAATTAGTGTTGCACCATCCTCCTTTTAAATACTGAACTAGAAATGTTTCAAATCTAATCGAGGTTTGTGTAACTATTTGTCGGTTCAAGACTATGGTCGTGTTCGTATAATGGGGTTCAATGGGTGGTATGATACCATCCATCGGTATGGTCTCAAAGAATGGGGAGAAGGGTTAGACAGTTACAGACTGATATAGAATATCGAGACCTTAAGATGGTAAACCTTGACTCTGATACCATATAAGATAAACTAAACTCCAGATTAATCTCTAAAAAACTCATAATAGAAAGAAGCTCTAACATATATTGTTAAAAATAGTCAAAAACTAAGTCAATGTTAGCTCCAATAGCAACAATTTATAAACATGCAAAAGTAAGATGAGAGCGTCTACAACAGATTTTTCAAAAAAATTCCAGACTAGTAAATTAAAATCCAAAATCTTCAAAAAAACTACATTTAATTTCAACAGATTTTCCAAAATTTCCCCAAACTAGAAAATTAATATCCAAAATCTTCAAAAAAAGATTACAATGATTTTTCATAATTTTTCTTTACTAGAAAATTAAAATCCAAAATCTTCAACAAAAAAAAAAAGATTACACTTAATTTCAACATATTCTCCATTTTAAATATTACAATATTGATTATAAATATTAAATAACTGATACATTTACTAAAATATCATTTCTCTCTCATATAGATTTTTAACATCAAGAACCGTTTAGAGAATTTCACTCAAAAGTTTTGGATAATCTGTTGAATAAAAATTTGTCCAAAAACTCCATTTCAGAAATCTGGTGAAGATGCTCTAGCATAGCAAGCGGCAATACCTCATGCCATGACTATAGTCGTGTTCAGATAACCATTTGTCGGTTAACCGAACACGTCAAGTAGATCTACTTAGCGTTTATGATTTGTATATCGTTATAAATTCCAAAAAAATTAGATAAAATAACAAATTTATATCAAAACTTGATGAAATCGATGTTCATGTATATAACAACATTTTGGATAGTTTTCGATCCTCTAATTGGGGAAAGAAAGATTTGACCTATTTTAGATCAGTAACTTCTATCTTTTGTTTCTTCCTAAAACCATATCAACACTCTTCCCATGACTCTACATATTCTTGATTCAAATCGATTAACAACCGCTGCTGTACACAGGAACCAGACGTTGAGTCATCAGAAACTCCGCGTGATGCTGTTGACTCGTTAGAAACTCTGTTGTCGCTCGATGTCGACACAAAACTTGGAGGTAAACCAGCAAAGTTTATAATCCGTTGAATGTTAGAGTTCGGTTCCTCTTTTACTTGATGAATAACCTGATGATTATGTTTCGTGCTGCGTTTTTTCAAATGGGTGTGCCAATGGTTCTTGATTTCGTTGTCGCTTCTTCCTGGTAATTGTGCAGCAATTGTGGACCATCTGCAGAATTTATGAAAATCATAAGAACATTTGATAAAGAATTGAATTCTTTTGGCAGGCAAGGATTGAATCCTGTTTTATGCCTATTATTATTGATTAGATTTATCTGATCAGCCAAAGAATTGGATTCATTAGCCCTAAATATTGGTTGGTCGAATCAATTCTGCAACGAACTAAATAATCGTAGAAGAAACCGAATCCAAATTCGGATGTAAATATGATTGGATGACATACTTGTTTCCCATGTCCTGATGGAATTTGATGATGATATCTTCTTCCTCCTTGCTAAAATTTCCCCGTTTGACACTCGGTCGAAGATAATTCATCCATCTCAATCTGCAACTCTTGCCACACCTGGACAAACCTAATTACAACAACATACTGTCAGATTCCTCAAATCAGATTCAGCAGCTGAACACATCGTTCATGGAGGCAAAGGAAATCATACTATTTAATTCATAGAATTCTAGAGATTTACTCTTATAAGCTAACCTAACTAAAATCACAACAATAATTTCTCCCATGGTTTCAATCGATACTCTAGAGATTTACTCCCATAAGCTAACCTAATTTATTCAGAGAATTCTCAGAGATGCATACAAACAAATGAGATTGTTCCATCGCCTAACCTAATTTAAATCAGAACACTAATCCTCTGAATTTTTCAGATAAATCAAAAAATTCTCCGGAATTAAACAAAAATACTTGGAATCGTGATACTAAAGCTACCTTAATTTGAATCATAAACATTAATTTCTCCTTCGGTTTCGATAAATCAAACAATTCTCCAGAGATACACTCAACTTGAATAAATCAGCGTACTAATTTATCCTTCAATTTCAACAAAACAAATCAACAGAGATAGGAGTACATACGAATCAAACGAGTACAAATCTTACTTCTTATACGCATAGAAAAGGGGGTGAAGATCAATCATACCGGCATACTTGGGGAGTTCACGCCAATTCCAGTGGCCATATCGTTCAATGTAATCTCTTAGCTTGTTATCTTCTTCTTCGCTCCAGGCCCCTTTTTTCATGCCATTTTTGTCGATGCAGGGTGCCCTCACCATTTCAGATCTCTCTTTGACTCTCTCTCTTCTCTGTTTCTCTCTCTCTCTTGGGCTGCCATCACGATGAGTCCAAGTCTAGGTTTGTTAGCAATCAGCATTCAATATTTTAATTTATATTTTTACAATTTCACTACCTGATCTATGTTAAAAATGCAATTAATACCCCTCGTTTTCATTTGAAATAAAAAACATAACCCTCAGTTTTGGACCTTTGTGGTGGATGGTCCCTCGATTAACCACCCCATCGGCTATCATAAGAAGCGGAGATTTAATAATTTAACATGAATTTTTTAATCGACAAAATTAGGCAACTTGTAATCGTATTTTTCTAGTAATTAACTGCATTGTGAAAATCTTAAATAGCCGCCTAATATAATCGAGCAATTTTGCGTATATCTAACTTACATTTTAAGGATTTGAGAAGTGTTTAAGACTCAAAATAAAAATGGTCAAACTGGGCAAGCTGATAGCAATTGGAGGAGTATGGCAGCTACAGAGTAGGGTTGCCTTATTATTTTATTTTATTTTGATTAACCTAGATATTCAACCCGATATGCGAACCAACTAATCTTAGGGAGACCACTTGTTTTGTCGGTAGCCTAAAATCTCCGCATTTGAACCTCCATGGCTATAAGAGAATTTTTATTCCTCATTGGATTCGAACCTGAGATCTTATTATTGGGGTTGGAGGAGCGTAGCAACCATGGAGGAGGGACGAGCAGTGACGGGCAAGAAGGGAGGGAGCGACAAGTAACGATGAGAAAGGAAGTGTGGACTAAAGGAGGTCGATTACAAAAGGAAATATAATCGAGTGAAAAGGGAACGATTAGGGAGAAAATGGTTAAATCCATTAACTTGGGGGTTATGTCCGAATTCATAAAAGTAACTGAAATTAGAGTTAAATCATAAAGCCGCAAACAATCACTCTGATTTGATTGAATGAAACAAGTCTCCAAACCATCAAAATCATTAAGTTGTGTAAACAAAACAACCATTTATATTCAAGATGCATACTTACATAACACTTAATGAGTTGTGATGAACGTGTGAATAGATTAAAAGTTCGTGGGGGTAAGTGTAAATAGATGAATAGGAGGGTAGCGAAATGTAAGTTAGGCGCGTGATAGCGGTGATGCTGATCGTTTAATTATAAAAAAGAAGATGTGAAGCGGACAGATGGATTTGATTCAACCAACACCTAAACTTTGGCTCCATTCAATTATGCCTTTTCAAGAGTTGTTGACGGAAACCTCTCGTCTATACCATCCATACCACCTAACCATAATATTTATTTTTTTAATTAATTTTGAAACTTATTCGATAGAAAATCTATTGGAATTAACTGTAATTTTATCAAAGATATTTTAAAGAAAATGATTTAGAATTTATTATAAATACTCTAAAAACTCGTCCTTTTATTATTTGTTGATATTGATTCGAATGGTATAAAAAAAATTAACAACGAAAAGCCAAAAGCAGTGATTGATCATTTGATTTGATTTTACATTTGAACTCAGATAAAAAATTGATCTGATTGAACAATATAGGTAGAACGTACATTTAAAAAATAATGGATTCTTTTACCCTTGTTTTCAAATTTGCACTAATATTTCAAATAATTCAATGTTTATTAATTAATTAAATTTATAAGTAGTTGTTACAATAATTAAATGATGAATGTGCAAGACACATTCCTACGTTGGCTAATCAGGGGGTGTTTGGGATTGCTCATTTGAAACAACTTATATTTTTCTACAAAATCATTTATCAACTTATTATAAATGAAAATAGTTTAACTTCTTCAAAAACTTCTTATTACCGGTATCATAAGTTGTTTATCCAAACACTCAAAAATGTTTACCGGTATCATACCGAAATAAGTCAATAAATTATCTTTATAAGCAATCTCAATCACCTCTCAAAATGAATTATGGAGGTCCATTTTGGGTTTAAAATACGTACCAAAATTATGGTTGCATAAGATGGAGCAATTTATTATATAATATTTAATATCATAATCGAATAATCAATCATAATAATTGTCGCATGCTTTTACTATTTAAATTTATAGTTTAGTTTTGTTAAATAGAAAATAAAACTATTTATTAGTTAATAAATAATGTTTTTGGCCGATTGGTTATAACGAAGGGCTAAATACCCTAAAAAAATAAGTATTTAAATAAGTATTTAGTAATTATTTGACTTCTAAGAAAATAAATAAATTTTTTATTTGATACAGATGTTGGTTTGACCCAATCTTACAGGTTTCTGACTTGGTTGACTCGGTCGGCGACAAAGATTTCATATAATCGAGTGTAGGGAATGGGGTCAGGGATACATCGTCACTACCCGTCGGGGATCGGAATGGTAATGGAATGGAAAACCCGTTTTTATTTTTGTCACAAGGTAAACAAATAGCCCAACTGATAATTCATATTCAATTTATTATGTCAGAGTTTAAGTAATATAGTTTGACATTTAACGAAATCGAATTGAAAATTTTAGATCGTTAAAATATGTCTGAGCTAGAATTAACGCCTGCAATTATTTCACTATTTTGAAAGAAAAAAAATCCACTGTTTAGGATTCTTATAACGTGATTGTAAATATGTTTGTTGTAACCAGAAGGATGGTGATTGATTGGTTTGAGCTTGGCTCCAAAGGTCAAAAGTACCAGGAGGTCTCAGGTTCAAATTCAATGAGGAATAAAAGTCCCTTTGTGGCCGCAGAGGTTCAAATACGGTGACTCCAGGCTATCTGCAAAGCAGATGGTCGTCCTGGGATTAGTCGGCTCGCTTAGCGGGTTGGATATCCTGGTTAATAAAAAAAATGTTTGTTGTATATTTAAAAATTATAAATTAAAATATCAAGCATTGATTAAATGTGTTTTCATGAGCGACAGGTTAGAGATGAGCAACTCATTCATAAAATATATGTTGAGTTCATAGGTAATCCAATCGAGCACACTGTCCATGCACGAGAAGAGTTTCTGAAAATGAAGTGCAACTTTCAGAGAGGAGAGGGTTCAATTATCCATCACCGACGAAGACGGGGATGATGACATGGTAGGAGAATCATTGACGGTGATGGGTAAATTTGAGAAAAAAGTAACAATAATATGTAATCTCGTATGCAATTTTAATTAAAAAATGGTGTAATATATTTAATAGCATACCTGGAATACCAAAATAAATATCAAAAGATGAACGGTTTTTATGCGTTTACAAGTAGTTTCGTCATAAATTAACATCAAACCGAACTAAAGTTTGGGGAAGTTATATTAACTGATTTATGAATTGGGTGTTTCGATTTGTTCTATACATACACATGTATATATGTATGCAACACATGTATTGTCTATGTCCTACTGGTTTATAAAGAGGTCAATACACGACAAACAATAAAGAGAAAGAAATCAGATGTGATTTATCATGATTTATATTTTACGTCACGTTCAATTCCTGTACAACTTCAAGATTGAAAGTGACTAAATCCCTTCACTTGTGCTAGAGTATAGGCCATTTACATAATGGGTGAAACTGCTCAAGTGATGTGTTAATTATACCTGAAATACCGATATAAAGTACATCAATCAACGTCGATGGTCCTTTAACGGTGATATAATCCTTAGCGGAAATCTTGTAGGTCCTTTGAATCACATCATTAAAGCATCCTACAAACATTTATGACAAATCGTTCAAATCAACATTTCAATTGCATGATTAAGACTTAAAACCTTATGATCGTGATTCTTATCAAAACAATAATCATGAAAACATGTATAGAGTTGCACAGAAATTTGATGGTCCAACTACCAAACCCAATATGGGAAATAGTCAATAACTCTTCCCAAAATTCTATATTTTACAGGCTGACATGATGAGATCGAAAAAATGTTAGACCCAAATCAATCCAACTCGATGAGGTTGAACAAAATCAGTATAAAGTAAACCTTATTTTTATGCATTATTTATTCATAATGATTTACGCAGCTACAACATTCTCTTTATATGTAAAAAATGTTTTTGATAAATAACCGGAGATATTTACATAAGTATTGTTTCTTGCAACTTCTCAACTTGCGTATGAACTAAAAGACGAAAAAAATAACAATTCACTTTTCACCCAGGTCCGTAAAGTGGCACATCCGCAAGTGGGTGAAAATTGATTTTTTTTTTGTCTTTTAGATCCTCCCCAAGTTGGCGTCGATGTGAGCTCTTGAGGAAGATCAGTCTGTTATCCATAGAGTAACTTTTATGAGGTGTCAGTACCATTTGCTGATGTAGTGATATTTTATAAATTTACCAAGAAAAAATGGTTAAAAGATGAATTTGCTCCCTGAAAATGGTTATTTCTATTAATTTCCTTATTCTAAATGATTGTAAAATTTCCGAGGGTTAGTAATGTTGACTATGAAATTGGTTGGTTTTTCATCAGTAGATTAAGAAAGTTTTTGTTTGGAAACATTTTTTTCATAGATAAAAAAATGTATTTTTTAATTAAGAGAGATAAATATAGAAAAAAACTTGTCTATTATATAAAGTTTTTTTTTGACAAACTTATTTATTAAACAATCATGTATAACTAACGTAATAAACTGTGGGTCCCGATAACTTCATTAAACTACAGACAAATAGAACCATATACATGTTTGGCATATTGATAGCATCATTTTCATCAGAAAAAGTGTAGATAAAATTTGGACCGTCAAAGTAAGCTTTAAATTTCATTCGTTGAAATAGAAATGATTGAGCATGTGACGTGGCATTTGCAAAAATAATTAAAAAAAAATAGACGGTCAAAAATATTTGTATTGTACTTTGTAGGTCCATTTCCTTTTCTCGGTTGGTATGTGGCACATGACCCCATTTTTTTAGGTTTATAAATATAATAGTTTTATTAAAAGTCAATTTTTGAATTGTTAAAAGGTAAATATTGTTTGGTGAAAAAAAGTTTATCTTTTAATGACTATAAAATCTCTGGATGATTTTGTATCATATGTCTCCCTTAATCATTCAGTGTCCTAATTTCACTGTAAACAACTATCAAACAATTATATTTTATT